ATGTGCCAGTAGTCGGACAAAAGTTATAGTATTGGTAAAAATTTGAATATTGGAAATCCTATACTTGCTGGTAATTGGTACTAGATCTGTTTTCCAGTAGTTTTTGGTTTGAGAGTGATACGCTCCCGAACTGCTCCAGAAGCAATGCGTGAGAATACAAAGTGCAGTGAAACGGTATTGCTGCTGAGCACTACTGAGTTACACCGAGTTAGGTACTTAGAGTAACTCAACAGCGTCACTGGAAAACAGTTCTGATTTATCAACTGATTTGTGATAGTTTACAAAAATTTCACATCCACAGTTGTCATATTGACAACAGTATTAGCGCGTGAAAAACAGCATGCATTATGTTCCTCAATTTTTGTTATTTCTGTAGTGAGTGATAAACATTAAAGGCAAGTAGAATCGTCAGCTGACAATATATAAATACTGTTCTTGTTACATATGCAGAAGACATTCAAAATTTACGAACTAAATTAATCTATGTTAATTTAACATGTTGAGGTCAAATTGGAGTGGCCGCTGACTGGATAATCATATCTACTAATCAACACTAATAAACTTGTCCGACTATTGGAACGGGTTTTATTGGACTTTACAAAAGTTATCCTTGCTTACGGAAAACTAAAAGTAGTTATTACAAGGATCTAAATAAGAAAGATGCGGCTTATTTCATTTTATTAAAAAAGTACAAGACATTGAACAAATACTACAAAGCAGTGTGTGAAAACTAAAGTAATTAGCATCCGGGGTTGTTTTAGAAGAGAGAAGAAGAAAATAGGAGATTCCAAACGGTCAGGCAGAGGATCATAATATGTATGAAATATACTATACGAGACACATTTATGGTATTATTATTGGTCTCCGGTATTATTTTACCTAACGACTGAGGAGAAATTAAGGTTGAAAACTTTCAATCTTCGTATTTAGCGAAGAGCGACTGTTAAGACATCAAAATCGTGTATTTTTTTATAATTAATGGAGACACTAAAGTTAGTAGCGTTGAGTAACTTTCTTCATCCATCCTCAGGTAATTTCACCAATCATCAGGTTCTAAGCGTAACTCTTCTAGCAGATTAATATGGGTATATTGTGGGCGTTTTAAAAGCCATCCCTTTACTTATTTCTTCCAAATATGTGGCTTTTTAACTAATCTATTTGTTTTCTTTTTAATTAAAGCAGCGTACGCCACTATCAATAGAATGTACTCGTCTTCAGTGATCATTATATACCTTCAAACTAACTTCTGTTCTACTACCACACATTTTTAAATGCGGTTCTGTCTAAAACTGGACAGTCAAATACTGTCTGACAATTGAAAATTAGCCGGCCGACTAGTAATAGCACCTTCTGTCCGAGTACTGGCTGATTAATATTTTTTCATAAAATTACAGGAATATCTACGACTACGTATAAGCAATGTATTTGTTGTCGGCGAAAAGTTAACAACATGATATCTTCAAAATAATTAGTTGTGTTATCCTGAACACAAAATTCGTAATTAGATACACTTTTTACTCCACTTTTGTCTAAACTGTCCGACCACTGGCATATTGACCCTAGATTAGAGACTACGTTCGTCAATTCTCGTCCACCATAATTTCGTGGACATAGACATTTTGAAGTAAAAACAGGTGATACTTGCGGTTGAGGGGTGTTTTTCAACAGCTGGATAAAATTTTTACCGGGAAGCTAATCGAAATGCTGCACCGGTAAAACAAGAGCATTGTTCTACACCAAAGCAACCGCGGAGGCAGAAGCCTAAATGCCAGGACACTTTGCGTGTTCTGAGGTACTTAAAGAAACTATGTTAATCCGATTTTTGTTAGTAGAACTGAGAAAAGTCTCCTCTCGTAGATTGTTCCATAATCTCTATACTCTAGGGCCAGTTCTAGATGTACGAAGTTCGTCACGGTCAAGATGGCAGCCGGAAGTTAGGCGGCTCTGTCTGGCAGGTATTGACGTTACAAAGAATTAAGTAGAAAAATTAATATATGTGGTCAACCCAGAGATCAACCCTCTTATATCAAAATACTTCATAGAGGAATACGTAGCTGGGTCAGTTGGTCAAAACTAAAATGATACGACCAGGTTTGGCGAATCATCTCAGATCGGACTCAGTTTTTTTCTTGAAAATACCCTTGGAGACATTAAACATATTGTGAAAATTCATGGTCCTAGGTCGAGTTCGGTCTGTAGGAAGCGTTCAAAGTGACAGGTCCCACAATATATGACTACTACGAAGTAAAATTGGAACTCAATAATATATAATATATCTTAATTGCGGTCTGATAGTCCATTTGGCAAATATTTCAGGAAAAATTGTTATTTTAATTCTTGACGCTCCCTCCAGTAGCATTGGATCCAAAGGCCTCTACTTGAAGACATTCGAATTGTCAGCCCAATAAAAAATCAATTTTGACCAGAATATCATCCTAACGAATTCGACTGAAAAGAAAATTTTAGTGCTTTTAGAAAGATTCCCTTTATGTTACGTCGCTGTGATGCCAGCACCCTATCGTCGCGAATATATGATGACGCATTGACGTCGATTTATCGCAGATCCTCAAAATATTGACGAAATACCAAATTAAGTTTGGATCCCGAGGAACAAAGTGGCTCTTGATTTTGTGATCAATACGAAATAAACGACTCTGATAATAATAGAATGTGGAGAATGTATAGTCTAATCATAGGTATTAGACCAAAATACCCCTGGTCTGCGAAATAATTGTAAAGTCCGATTTTATTGCAGCAAGTTGTTCAAGGGGGTATTCAAAACATGGACGCATAAAATGGGTAAGTCAATTTTTGTGGGAAAACTTTTTATTCGACAATAAAAACTGAGAAGACGTGTTTTTTGGGATTCAATCGAAAGTGTCAACAGGAACAAAAAAACTACTCTTCATATAAGGTTCTTCGGTATTTATGAGACCTAAGAAATGAAACCACACATGAAAAGATCCGACTAATAGCAAAAAAGTTATGGCCGAAAACCGAGAAAAACTGGAAATGCGACGATGATTTCTCGCAGATATTTAAAATTTTCCAAATTCGTAGAATTCGTACTTCTAAATAACCATAACAAAATTGGAGTAGATTGGTCAAGTAGTTTTTGAGAATTTCTAATTGTTTATCCCAAAACATCTGTTTTCCGGCCATCACTACTAAAGGGCATTTTATAGCAGAATATACTAGTTTACCTTGCCGATATGGATCGCAAACCATTCCGGAAGATAAATGTTATTTTTATGCAAAAAAGGATGGACTACGTTTTTTCTTCTAAACAAATTCAAACATTTCGCATTTGTGAGTAATTCGCAACAAAAGATGATAGACACATCCGCTTTGTTTTGAAATGTTTGTAGTAACGTATGTTTTTTGAATATCGTAGCGGATTTGTTCAATTACTCACTAATACGAAATGTTTGAATTTGTTTAGAAGAAAAAAATGTAACCTTTATTTTTCGCATAAAAATAACATTTATCTTTCGGAATGGTTTGTGATTCATATCGGCAAGGTAAACACGTGTATTTTGCTATTAAATGCTATTTGAATGAACCCTCAATAAACTAGTAGTGATAGCCGGAAAACAGGTGTTTTGAGATAAACGATTAGAAATTCTCAAAAAACTACTAGACCAATATAATCAAATTTTGTTGCTGTTAATTAGAAGTGTGAATCCTACAGATTTGAAGAATTGCGTGAAATTTTCGTCGCAAAAACCTGCATTTTGCCTAGTTGTTCGGCCATAGCATTTTTGCTACTACGAGTAGTCGGATATTTTTACGTGTGGTCTCATTCTGTAGGTCTCGTAAATACCTAAAAATCTTATGTGGAAAGTTTTTCGTTCTTGTCAACACTTTCGTTTGAATTCCAAAAAACAAGTTTTTTCATTCTTTGTTGTCAAATAAAAAGTTTTCCCACAAAAAGTGGTGTACACATTTTTAAATACCTCCTTGAACAACTTGCACCAATAAAACCAGACTTTACAATTATTTCGGGGAAATTTGTTATTATGATTAGACTAGTACGTATTTTTTAATACATGTGATTTCTGTGGCTAATTAATTAATGATCTGTTCTGTAGTAGGTACATCTTCTGGCGTTAACTACTTATTAATCATTTAATTCATAAATTATTGCTGTATGTGCGTCAACCGATGTTCAGATTGTGAGACACTTTTATTACCATTCCTAAAGAAGAGAATCGCGAACAAGGTATGATGGTAATTGAAGTGTTGTTTTTTCACATTTTCGTCAATATCTCAAAGACGAATCTCTTCAAGGTCAAAATTCAAATTGTTTATTTGGAAGTGAGCACCTCGTTTTTTTTAATTCCATATCTAACTACCAATTGTATCAGCGTTATATTTGAAAGCATACAAAAACCACCAAAACTTAGTCGACTATATTAAGCAGTCCTATAGTATTAAAATCAAACTTGTGCGACGACGGACGTGAATAAATTAGTCTTTGACGTAGGCAACCAGTTATACAAAGCAACAACTAGTGTTATCTGTCGACGAGTAACTTAATCTTAGCACAATTACGCTGTAGATTCCTGTGTCTAACAGCTTTATTTCTTGTGATACCGCTTAGTGCTACGCTATAGCGCTGCATACTGTGGGAGAGCAATTTCTACGGATTGAATGCAAATTCAAATCAGACTTGAATTCTGTTTCCTTATTTTCTTAATATTGTCTTTAGGAGTGGTTTAGGATAAGGGTCGGAGTTTTTGATTCAGACCTTGGAAATTCTAACATATTTCCTTCTGAACGCAGGCATAAATCTTTTGTCGGCGACGAGTCATATTTTTTCTCTTTGCTTATTTGCCATTGATTAACGATTAACCTAGTAGAATTCTTTTGTAAGTTGATATAAACCTTTATTTACTCTTCCAACGTAATTTTTAAACTTTGAACTGGATTGATTATCCCTATCTGGAATTTCCATAATGTACCTAACAGGGATAAAAGGTTTAAAAACGAAATTTCATGTTGTGCTTATAATATTGTATATTTACAAAATTATTCAGTCTCATTCTGGTAGGTACACATTCTATTTTGACTTATCGAAATCGTGCACATGCTCTATATGCAAGTATATCAATCCCTGGAAAAAGAAAAATGAATAGTTTCAGAATGACCCATATATGAGGGAATGGGAATAGGAAATGATAGCTGTCATATTAACTTATTCAAATGTTTTTTCTTTTGTTTTGACTTTGAGAAAATCATTCTTATGCGTTTTGTGGCTATAACTGGAAACGTGGAAACTGGAGGGTAAACTTCCTATGCCAAGGCACGCATTTGTATGTGGTCAATATACTGTCATTGAGGAAGGTGTGGCTCTCGGAATTGTAGTGCACGTAGAGCTTCTACGCATTCATATACATGCACATCAAAGATGTCAACCTAACCTGCCGCAAGCTTTATTTTGATCTATTTATCTAATGTAAATAATGGTTTTCACTTGCGGTTTACGATGCTTTCTCGGTTTATTGATACCAATCATCATATTATCTGCTTGAAACTTGTCTGAGCTCTCAAAACTGGAATTGATTACATTTCACGTTCATGACGAAAGCAATCGAGAGATGCAGATATAAGAGATGCCACACGCGCAGAACTGAAATATATTTCGGAGGCAGTTGCTATAGTAAATAACTTGCCTTTATTATCGACAGTTTCGGTTTCACCCTGGTTGTATGAAGTTACCGTTCTGTTTCCACTCTAATCCTTGGCTTACCGACTTTTTTCTAATTCTTTTTTTGTTGCCGGCTCCACGTTTTTGAAATTTGAAAATACTCTCAGTGAAAATAGTTCCTCTTACTTTTGCCGCATCTTAGAGCACATTTGTACCACTGCATGTTAGTATAGGTGACCAAGTTAGTGCCGCACACTGGATTATATTCCATCGTGGCTCTACATTGGTCTTCGCAAGTACTTCTTCTTGTCGCAGATCCTGGAATTGGTACCGTTGTGGTTCTTGGTCTTGGTGTCGTGGTTCTTTTCTGTAATAATAATATTCGTAAATCGAGCGATGCCTTGTTATAGCGGACCTAGAAATTGAAGGATTTAGGGCCTCATTGATTTCCATAGTCTTCCCTCTCCTTCAGAAACAATGGGCTTTTTCTAGATTTTTACAGTTCCGTGTCAGCGTCAGTGCTCTCCTATTGATATAGCAGATGATATAAATCAAAACCATGAACATTTTGATGCAAATATAAATAGAGCGCTGTCACGGAACAGTAGAAGACTATGAAAATCAAGGAGGCCATAAAGGTGTCCTACAATATTGTAGGAACGACTGAAATTCGCCCATACTTCATAGTCCCCACCCATTTGATAAAGCTTACGTTAGTTTCCTGCTCCAAGTATCTACCATCTAGCAGCGGTCCTGAACCACACTAGTATAGTAAATAGCAACTCGAGAGATTCTGCGATGTAGTCAGAGTCAATCAGACACAGACAATACTCAGCGTATAGCGTATGAAGGTTGCGTCGCGGCCGATCGCAACCGCGTGTCGCTTCCACAAATATTTCTTTAAGGGAAATCTATGATGTGCAAAATAAATGGGGTTCGAAATGTATAACTATACTTCTGAACAAAAATATATATACTTTCCCTCACCCTCTACAATATTTTTTATGAAAATGATCAGGAGCCTCTGAAACATCATGCTACTAGCTCCACCACCAATAGACCGAATGTCAAAAACTGCAAAGCTTTTGAGTCCTTGGCATAGTAGTAACACTGTGTATAAATTTCGTCGAAATCCGAAGGGTACTTCTCAAGGTACCTATAGGGGGTTATAAGATTAGTGAACAGACAGACAGAACGACGAAAATGAGTGACATGGATTTTCGTGACGTACATGTCATATAATATCCAAAAAAAGGTAATATCTCGTTTTAAAAATTTTCGCAATTACAATACTCCCCCGCCAGTAAGGGTGGGAAGTAAAATGGACAAAAAGCTAAGAGGTGTTTGAACATCTCGTAAATTTTGTGCTTCCTATAATTTTATGTCACTTAGGGTATAATTTCCGTGATCTATGCTCCAAATCTACACTTCACATGAATTTTGAAGAATTTATGCCTGTATATGCTTAGAACCGCCTCACTTTTGTTAGAAATGGTCTTTCTGTTTTGTTCAAAGAAAGTGTAAATAAAATTTCATAGGACTTCTATCATAAATGTGAGTATTATATGTATAGTTATAAATGAAATTAATAACATTTTCAAATGTAAAACTTATCAGGCGGGCTTTTGAGACGTGCTCAAAATACTGACTCATCTTATTTTTTATTTATTTAATATTTTTATATACCAGTGCACTCTTCCTTATGGTCAAATACATCTTGAGAAACGCTGATCTATGACTTACCCAAAAATCTCGATTATTATTGTGAAAATGTCCTCCTTCATTCTGAAACCACTTGCCATCGTTTTGATCTTCATTATTCTGACCACCATTTTTGAACCACTGCCCCCTATTTCTTGAATTCTGGAACCTACGATTGTTATTCCAAGAGCCGTCCCTGTTCTGAAAACTAGTCTCAGGCTTTTGGAAACGATCATTGTCATCATCGGTTGGGAACAAGATACCTCCATTGCTGTTGAGTGATTCATCTACGTAGAAAAGTGAAATGTTACATAGCCTAATCAAAATTACTCATAAAAAATATATATTTTATGCATACAATGCATAAGAAAATTGTCGTCAGATTGCGAGTACACTGAAAAATAAATTAATTCAACTGAAATTTTATCAATTAAAAAATTTAATCTACTATGTGACGGCGAACAAGTTTAATTAGTTTAATAAAACTCGGGTTTCTAAAACAGTTTACTTGAATCTATGAAACTAGTTCAGTACAGCCAAAACGCAGTCGTTTAATTACATTTATTAAACCGTTCATTTAGATCTAGTACACCAGTTCATTCGAAATTAATGAGCCATTAAAAGTAAAACATTTTAGTTATATGTATTAAATTTTTAATTAGTTCTGGTAAAAGTATTTGCGTAGTCTTAAAGAATTATTTTATTTAGATTTAAAAGTATATTTTGATAACATTTGGAATTTAAAATTAGCTTAATAGTATATTACTTTCAATTAAACTGGTTCTAGAAAATTTAGCCAAATTAAACCGAAGAATTTAATTACTTAAATGATTAAAAAAAAATAATAATTACGGGTAATGGAAATTTTACAGAACAACTGTTGGATTGGCCACGTTTCTCATTGTACGAGTACCTTATTAGAGGTATTCCATGATCTTTTTAACTTACCATTTTCAAAAGTAGCTTGTCTTGGTTTTCGTGCTAGGGATTGATCACTGTGTTGAAGATAGTGAGTAGAATAGTGAGCGAAACATTGTACATTTCGTAAATGTACAATAGCATACACTGAAATGATACATACATATTAAATTGCTGAAAAAATGTATGATGCTCATTAACAATTTCAGGTGTAAATTATTTATCACCATCACTTATTCAGGTATCATGGTATATTTGTTGTAAATTACATTTTCTGAATTAGTAGTAGTAGTAGTAGTAGACAATACCTCGAATATCAGAAGCGATTTTTAAATTGCAGAAATTTTATTATTACCTATAGCTTTATAAGTTTATTTCGATAACAGTGATGAATACCTCTTGAATAATTTTTAAATTTTCTAAGAACTATATGCCACTATTCGATTTCCAGTTCTGAGTCATTTAGGAATAGATACAACAGTTAATGAAAAACAGATGTTTTCGTCACTGAAAATAACAAATTTTGGAAACAAAATTAAATTTATGCGTTTAAATATTTTAGATCATATGCATTTTGAGCTTTCGTACATTTTCTTTTTATTTCAGTAGTTGATAGCCTTTTAGAAGCCCAGAATTCGCAATTTTGACATTTTTGTTGAAAATTCATTCATCTACTACACTACGTTAAATATTAACGTAGTATTTCAATAGAAGCGCGTGGCCGCAACACTTTCTACTTCAAATCTATGATAAAATACTAAGACACAGGACATATATAAAAATGAAAGTGTTGCTCTACTTCCATCATGATAAAAACTAAACAAATCAGTCTCCCTCTCCCTATTACTCGTAATACTATAAATGAGAAAGTTTGGATGTTTGTTACTCAATCACGCCAAAATGACTGAACGGATCTGGATAAAATTTGGTACAGAGATAGATTATAGTTTGGAATAGCACATTTTTATCCTGAAAGATAACTGTGAAATATCTATTACACGGACTAAAGCCCAAACGACTTAATGGAACTTCTCACGAGATATCTGGCACGAAAGCGCTCAGTTGCTGGTCCGACCGAAATGAGTAAGGTTATATAAAACATTGGATAATAACCATTTTATTATGCTCGTGAATGTGAGCGTGTATGTTTCGTTATCGGTTATCACGCCAAAATGGCTGAACCGATTTTTATCAATTTTACGGATAGATACATTAGACCTTGGAGAACGACATAGGCTGCTTTTCGTTGCAACCATCCGTAATTATTAAAATGAGTATTCGAAATAATGTAAGTATTTGAAAATTGGTGGATTTTGGACATCAATCTAAAAAAATGCATGCTTTGGGCTTTTAAAAATTACTGATGTACTGGAATAATGAGGAAAATGTTGAACGGATAAAATAAAATCTTCTGAAATATTTATATGCAAAAATTCCTTTGGTGCGATCAACTTGAAGTTTGAGTTATTTCCAGTGCCGAAAATCCCGTTTATAGGCTCTGATTCTTTATTAATACAAAAAAAAGTTGTGCTAGTGAACTTTACCAAATGTAACTCTATTATAGTGTGAACATTCATATTACTGTTACCCTGAATAACTTTGATAAGAAGAATCAGATTAGTACATAATTAAACTAAGGAAGTAAGACCGTCTACGCGTAGGCGTAAAACGATTTTGAATAGCTTGTCTAATAAATAAGAAATATTTCAGCCAAGTCTGCCTGTATGTTCTCCCGAGAGGCAGTGAGAACGTCGAAAATCGTAAACCATACCTACTCTGGCCTGCAAACGATATCATGTCTTATAGGATTTGGTAGTTGGCTCCGTGCGAGTTCATCGGGGTATCTTGCTCAGGATATCAGTACCCATAATCTCATCGTTAGCCGCGCCACGTTTCAAATCACTGATATCAAAAAGTAACGATATCAAATCACAGATATTCAAAAATAACGATAACGGCCATCTCTAGTCCAAATCAGGCGTTAAGGCCCTCTTTAGAATTTTTTTCGCGAGATCCCGTAGTGAACCGGAGCGGGAACAGATGGAATTTCCCCTTCCTCTCTAAGTTTTGACAGTTTCAAGTTACACCGGGAGTGGTCAGATGGCGAATGTTGCGCAAAATGTTTGCTTTAAGCTCCTTGATAATGAATAAATGAATGAATCTTGAAATTAGAGGCATTACGGCCACCATAAGGAGCAAGTGCATAGGCCGCTTAAGCGGGCCCTTATGCACTTCTACAATTCTTAGATCATAAGCCTCGCCCTTTTAGCGAAGTTGAGAATCGCCTTGGGTCCAAGCTCCTTGACGTCCTGAGGGTCCAAAGTAATGGACCCCAGTATAGTCTGCCTATAGTAGGTCAGAGCTTCACAGCGACACAAAACGTGCGCCGAGGTCTCTTCCTCTACTCCGCAGCGTTCACACAAGGGATCCTCAGCCACCCCCATCACGTGCAGGTGACGCCTTAACGTGTTATGGCCAGACAACAGTCCCACCAGCAACCTTAGGTTAGCTCTATCCAGAGATAGGCAGAAGCGTCCATCCTTAGCACTGGGCCTTTCAATGAGTTCCCGAGCCTGGCAGGGATGTCTGGAGATACGTCTCCATTTCTGAGAGTGTTGTCTTGCAACCCACGTCGCCATTTTCCTCAAAGCTTTATGCGCGGTCACTCCTAGAGCTGGCTCAGGACCAACGAGCTTGCTGGCTGATCCTGTCTTCGCCAGAGTGTCCGCCGTCTCATTGCCCCTTATCCCAGCGTGCCCCGGTACCCATATTAACGATACCAGATGCCTCGCTGCGGGGCAATCCAGAGCCTCCCTGCATTGCAATACAAGACTCCAAGTAATCTTACAGGCACTTAGTGCTTTCATTGCAGCCTGGCTGTCGCATAAGATTGTTATTCTTCTCCTAGGCCCACCCTCCTCCAGAATGTGAGATACACAAGCCAGAATCGCAAAGATTTCCGCCTGGAAAATGGTGGTGTATCCACCGAGAGGCAGAGATAGCCTAGTTCTAGGCCGAGAGACCCCAGCACCTGAGCCCTCTTCGGTGACCGAGCCGTCCGTGTACCAGACCTGCCCGCTCTCTCCGGAGAGTCCCCCGGTTACCGGCGTCCCACTCCTCCCTCGTTGGATACTCCACAATAAACTTGCGGTTGAAGCGATATTTAGGGGTAATACGATCACCTCTGCATAGAAGGACGGGGTCCTCCCTTTGTAATTCGATTAAGATGGCAGTATGCCCCTTGACAGGATTAAAGAAAGCCCGGCTGCCCTGACTCCACAGTCGATGAGCGACTACTCTCGCTTCACCGCGGATCACCAGAGATCCAACAGAGCTTCCATTGCACTCAATGGCGTTATTTGCACTGCGCTTGTAATACTAATTCAGGCGAAACGCTGAATTTTATTGAGTTTGGCCTTAGTTGTCTCAGTTCTAATGCAAGGCCACCAGACCAGGGAGCCGTACAAGAGAGATGGACGTACTAACGTCGTGTAGAGCCAGTATACCACTTTGGGTTTAAGCCCCCACCTTACCCCGACAACACGTCTACAAGCCCACATCGAATTGCGAGCCTTGCTAACCTTGTATTCCACATGATCTCTCCAGTTCAGTTTGCGATCCAGGATAATTCCCAGATATTTCACTGACTGGGACAAGACTAATCTAGTCCCAAAGAAGGTCGGCATGACCAGCCCGTCAAGCCTTCTTCTCCTAGTGAATAGGACCGGCTCGGTCTTTTCAGCATTAACAGAAAGATAGCCTTCCCTACACCACGATTCCACGGAGCGCAGAGCGCCCTGCATAATTTCCGAGACTATGCTACAAAAACGCCCCCTAACTACTATGCTTACAGCTCCTTGATAAACTTAGCTGCCTTGTTTGAATCTGAAATAAAAAGACCGATCGTTTTTTGTGCAATGTAATAATTTAACTCAATTTTCGGTACTGCGAAGACAAATTTTCAATTGAGATGCCTGTTTTTTAAATGAAATTGACATAAGACCTCTCACCCGCTAATACCTCACAGACGTTAAGCGGGTACCCGTACCACGTGATTTTTTGACATTCGGACGACGTCACATCCGTCTTCCCCTATTCCCGTTCTTCGCGAAAATTTAAGTACCGATTCCCGGTAGTGCACTGTGCTACACCGTGGACTCGCGAAAAAATCCTTTTTATTCCACATATCGATAAGTGACACACAATTGTGACGGATCCGTCAAAGCTAGGTAGACAGAGCCGTATTTTGATGTGCTTTTTTGTACGGTACGGAATCTTTTTGTACTTGCTAACCACTCTTTTATTTAGAAAACTTCATTCGCATACAAAAAAGCTACAAGCAAAATGGCTGCTGATGAACATGACTGCTTTTCAAGTCAGATAGGATTAAAAACAGTTTTTGACTTTGTTAATCGTTTAGAACTTGAAACACCATATGATTTTGAAGGGCAATGAAATAATCATTTCTGAATTACTTTATACTGATGATGAACAATTCACCAGAAACACGTGACTATAATATTTTTACATGTAAAATTACAGCTACTGGAAAGGACAACACAGTCTCTGTAATCAATAAATTAGTCTAATCATATATCATCATATAAATAATTGTCAAGTCTGGTTTTATTGATGCAAGCTGTTCAAGAGGGTATTTAAGACATGAACGCATAAAATGGGTACACCAATATTTGTGGGAAAACTTTTTATTTGACAACAACGAATAGAAAACGTGTTTTTTGGGATTCAATCGAAAGTGTTGACAGGATCAAAAATACTTTTCATATAAGGTTTTTAGGTAGGTATTTATGAGACCTACAAAATGAAACCACACGTAAAAAGATCCGACTAATACCAAAAATGTTATGGACGAAAAACGAGGTAAAATGCAGGTTTTGGCACGATAATTTCACGCAACTACTTGAAATTCTTCAAGTTTTTTTGAGAATGTCTAATTGTTTATCCCAAAACACCCGTTTTCCAACTACTACTACTACTACTACTACTACTACTACTACTACTACTACTACTACTACTACTACACTACTACTACTACTACTACTCGTTTATTTAGCAATATACAGGGTTCGTTCAAAGAGCATTTAATAGCAAAATACACGTGTTTACCTTGCCGATATGAATCACAAACCATTCCATTTGTATGCGAAAACCAAAGGTTACGTTTTTTTCTTCGAAACAAATTCAAATATTTCGTATTTTTGAGTAATTCAACAAATGCGCTACGATATTCGAAAATTATACGTTACTATACACATTTTCAAACAAAGCGGATGTGTCTCTCATGTTTGAATTTGTTTAGAAGAAAAAACATAACCCATCCTTTTTCCATAAAAATAACATTTATCTTCCGGAATGGTTTGCGATTCATATCGGCAAGGTAAAATAGTGTATTTTGCCAGAAAATCCCTTTGAACTAACCCTGTATATTGCTCAATAAACTAGGAGTGATGGAAGGAAAACAGGTGTTTTGAGATAAACAATTAGAAATTCTCAAAAACTACTTGATCAATCTACTCCAATTTTGTTGTGGTTATTTAGAAGTACGAATCCTACAAATTTGAAAAATTTCAAATATCTGCGAGAAACCATCGTTGCATTACCAAGTGCCAAAACCTACAGTTTGCCTCGATTTTCGGCCATAATTTTTATGCTATTAGTTGGATCTTTTTACGTGTGATCTCATTTTGTAGGTCTCACAAATAACTAGAAATCTTATTTATTATAACGTAACCCATCCTTTTTTTTGCATAAAAATAACATTTATCAGATCATTGGTATCCCTACGGGCTGCACTGAAAGTCCTGTTTTCTATCCATTGGAGAAAATTAAGTTATGTATTTGATGCCGAACTGTAAACTTCATAGCCATTAAGTAGCTCAAGCCTTATAACCTGTTTATACATTAGTAGCTTGATGGACGTATCTAATTTACTGCGTATGTATGTAATTTACTAGTTGGGCATATTAACGGGTAAAGGGTCTTCAGCATATCGTTAACATTAATACGTATATTAATAATAACAATAATAATAATCTTAACATGGTTGTTTAGTGTCAGTCGTCTATATATAAAAATTCTCAGGTATATAGTAATTTTAATATCCTGATTTTTTGCCCAAAAATGATAATCTTGGGTCCTGCAAAATTGTCTGTTCAGCTTAGGGCTTCTGTCTGATCCGAATTTATCGTTATTTTATTTTTTTCGAAAAAGGGAATGATTTTTCTGTTTATGTGTCTACCTGTCTACACACTACCTCAAATTAAGTTGCTGAAGAATAAATACTGGTCTGGTGCATGCAGAGTTTAATAATTGAGCTGCCATCTAGTGGATTATAAGTCTCTCAGCGACATAGCCTGTTCCCTTAACGCGTTATGTGGTATTGTTGCGTAAAAGTGTTCGATCCTAGAACTAGTTTGTTTTAGTGAACCAGATCACCGAAATGAACTAGAAAACACATCGCTACATGAAGGTAGAGCTTAATCTTAATACATTGAACGCCAATGTTTTATTGAACGTTATCCTAAGAAACTCAAGGAAATAAATATTTTATTTATTTCGGCGCATTTCGCGTCAGGCAAACCTAATATAATTTAGCACAGAACTAATGACCGACAGCGCTATATATAATAAGTTTAAAGATATGTTATGTCAGTCCTGACGACCGTCACTCCACCATTGGAATGGTTCAATGTCAGTCACCAGTGACTGACAAAGCGGCGAATGAGATAAGATTCTAAAAAAACGTATCGGAAATGGTTGACTTGATGTTAAATCTTATAAACATTTTGAAATAACTTGTTTGTAATTGAAGTTACTTACATAATATTAATATCTGCATCATTTTCGTTTAATCACTATATAATAGAGAATATCGCTGGCAACGCCAGAGACTACTACCAGCGGCAATCTGACTAGACGTTACCGTGTTTAAAGATAAACATTCTAATGAATCAGCTACTTCATTCATAGCTAATAACTGTCGAACAGGTTTTACTAAGAAGATTTGAGACTAATTATAATTACATCAAATACTAATACTTACACAGCATTAACAGCCAGATCATGTTTAACTTAACTATTTGGATGAGGAAACACAACGGACATCAGATGCAAATACGTGAATAGACTAACGAATCAAATAAAGAAATAAGAGTATATAGAGTGCTTGGTTCTGGGTATCCCTTACCCATAAAAGACCACGATGACAGACTAAAGTTGTTATCGATTTGTGTTTATTTTATACTTCAGCTTGCATACTTACATTCCGGTTCCTGAATCTTGATGTCCACTACACTCGTTTCGAGTATCCATATATGGATACTGTCATCTAACCTTGAACTGGACATTCGGGATATTTATCAATCAGCGCATAATAGTAATGTGTTAGCTATCAATATGAATCACAAATATTCAACACCAGGATACAGGATTTCGATCAGTCACATTGCAGGAAAGTTCAGAAGATGCCTGGTCAAGCTTACGTGAAATTCTGCTCCATGTATTCTTTTTTAATCGGCATTAAGAAAATATTTAGAAAAATAGCTTTTTGCGCATAAAAAAATACTGATGAGATCAAACGTTACAAAGCATTATGTATTCAAATCTCATTTACATTTCAACATAAAAATCATCGTGCGAGCGGCTATAAATGCCTAGGCGTGACAACGGCAAGCAAATAGAAGCGACGATCGGCTTATTACGCAGGCTATTCATTTGAAAACTTCCCACCACGGATTTATCGAAGACCGCTGATTAAAAGATTTGTCAAGTAGGACAACCTTTTAACCAAAAACCACTCCTTTCACCTTCTGCCCTCCAGGCTAATCCCCTTAAAAAATTTAAACGACACGGGGTATCGAGTAATGGCGTGTTTAAAAAGTCTTTCGAAGTGTTTTATTTTGATTCGTCTTCAAGAAAATTAGAAAAATCTTTATTTATCTTAATTTGTTCAGATAGAAAACAAAAACACCCGAAAATGTTGCCCGTTATTAACCAAACAATGATATAGTCAATGTTCAAATTCCTGACGGACATTTCCAAAAACATGTTCTGGGATATCATGGCAGCTATCGATGATGCGTTCACGAAGTTCATCCAAACTTTCAGGTTGGGGAGTAAGCACAATAGATTTCAAATGGCCCCATAGAAAAAAGTCTAATGGCGTCAAATCAGGAGATCTAGCAGGCCATTTTATAGGCCCTCTTCGCCCTATCCATTTATCTGGAAACTCGTCGTCAAGCCATTGCCGAACCGGAAGAACATAGTGAAGAGGAGCGCCGTCTTGCTGGAAATATAGTTCATCCTCATCAAGTATAGGGTTTCACAATCTTCGATTTGGTTTTCAATGGTTTTAGTGATAAGCGGATTGATGGTATTTTCCAACATATCCAAATAATTTTTTTTATACTCCAACTACCACGAAGGCCCTAAGGCCTAAACACCCATGGGGTACCATGGGGCTATAGGTAGATACAGGGGAAAGGGGGAACGCCAGACGGACTCTGGCGAGGGAACACGTGTGCATGCAACATGCACACATTCTGGCTCCGCCTACGAGATCCGCTGGGTGCTACCTCCGCGTTCGACAGTCAGAGGCCGTCTACCGCCTACGGCCAATCACAACATCCATAGCCAAGAGACAAAAATTCTCCTGGGACGGGATTCGAACCCACACAGCGCACGGCGACTGATCAGGAGACCGAAGATTCTACTACTGCGGCCACCGCTGCTGCCTAATGTCTCCATTCAAATTTCCATTAGTACACAATGGTCCAATCACTTTGTTTTTTAAAATGCCTGCCCATGAATTAATTTTTTTGCGGGTACTGAATGGTATTATCATTAATCGCTGCAGTCATTTTTTGTTCACAAAACTCAACTCTCCTATCGAAATCATCTTCGGTTAACTCTTGCAATATTTTCATTTTGCCCCGAATATAGACTCTCTTCACTCGGTCATAAAAACCTGAAAAATATTGGGAACTTTACAAACAAGTTGGTGAAATCAGAAAACTTGTAACTGATTGGTCATTGGTGAATATAAAACAAGCTTCAATCTGTTTGGAAAAAGTCCTGGGAATTAGCTCAAGTAACAGAATAATCATCAGTGAAAAGCCCTCAGGCGTTGTGGCGAAATCGAGTATCGAACGGATGATCCAGCAAACAAATTTAAAACTGTGTTGAAACCTATAAAGTGGTTGGACAAAATCGAACTTCCCGAAGTACGACTTGGACATGAAATAAAGCAGAAAAAGCTTGATAGTCTAAAACACCTACTTGTTACATTGTCTGGTGACGAATGGTAAGAAACAGACCCGGAGTTGAAATGGATATCTGAAATATTTGAGAAAACTGTGGCAAACTGTAATGATGAATATGAACAACACGAAAATGACGAAGAAGCTTGTGTACGCGCTAAGAATGATGATAATGAATTTATTTGAAAATAAAATCGTTTACTACTAATATTATTATAATACTTACAAATTTTGTTTGGTTTCATGATAATGCTTCAATATAAAACATATTTTTTTTAACTTGACAATGGCATTGAAATTGCATTTTTTCCACTAGAGACAATCAAACTGCATTCTGTCCAACAATTTTTTTAATTTTTTCAAGTTGTTTTTCGACATTCTTGTATCAAAACTTGTGATGGAAGTCCATACACCTGATAACATTATATTATCCCAAAAGCTTTTTTCACTTATGGTTATTAGTTTTTCTCTACTAGTTTTTTGCTCCTCCTGAAAATTGGTGAAAAATGGACAAAATGCAATTTGCAAGTCTGCTCCTCAAATAACTAAACTGGTCTAACAATAAATACAGTTCGCCCAGGATATCTGTGTTGATGAGAAGAATGAGGAAAAAAATATGGGTTGTAATTTGGTTGCCACGTCTAATCTTCCGATTGCTGTTTATTTTGGTAGTTTTCGTTTTAAATTGTAGATTTGGCAAACCCTAACGGGCAACATTTTGAACACTTATTGGAATAAAAAGTGATATTTTCGTGTGTTTTTGTTTTCTATCTATCTGAACAAATTAAGATAAATCAAGATTTTTCCAATTTTCTCGAAAACGAATCGACTGATTTTAAAAAAATCAAAAGTGAAAACAAAGGACCTCGCAAGTCCTTTCAAACAAGCTACTCGATACCTCTTGTCATTAAAATTCTTTTTAAGGGAATAACCCTGGGCAGCCGAGGGTAAAAGGGGGTGAAGTAGTTTTTGGTTAAAAAGTTGTCCCCCTTGTCAAATCCTTTGACGTGTCTCGGCGTTTTTTCTTTTAATCAGTGGTTTTCGAAAAATCCGTTTTGAAATGAACACCCTGTATGTCGTTTGATGAGGAGTAAATGAAGTTAGAATACATACTTTTATATAACAGAAAATGGCGTCAAGTAGGTTGAGACTGTACTTTCCAGGCAACGCTCTCATCAGTACATAAAGAACTACTGTAACATCTGAAACTCATGCTTTGGTTTACATGTTGATAACTCTCATGCTTGTCTAGCCAATAAAACCACATGCATTGATAGATCCCTTTTACTGTAGAGTAACGATTAATCGAAGATAATAAAGAATTAAGTTCTGTATAAATATGACCCTCTGGCTTAGCTACAAACATGTATAGCAAAATGATTAAATGGATCAAGTCAGACAAACAATTAGTCCATACACCATAGTGCCGACTCATTTAATTACGCTAACGCTCGTCCACCATGCCATTAGCGCCAGTCACGATACTATACCTCCAGATCGAGAACGCCGGCGATGCAGACAGGCGCACACAGAATCTGGCGTATGAAGGTTGCCATCGTCCCGACCGACATCGTGTCCGGTCTGTCTGTCTCCATTAAGGGCAATTGTATGGCAGAAATCCGTGATTAATGAAATAAGTACTAATTGGGTGCGTAAAATTACCTGGGCTGGAAGCGTATAAATATACCGTCGCCTAAACAATTTTCCAGACAATGATCAGGAGTCTCTGACACAAAGTTTCGTTTTTGTTGATGTGGCTTGATTAATAGAACTAAGTAACTGATCTTAAGCAACATTTCCAAACTTCAAAAAATCACTCGCCGGGCAGAAAGTTGAGTCGAATGAGGAGTTGAGGAGGTTGTCGCCGCCATTGAGGTCTACTTTGCAGACTTCCATCAGAAAACGTATTTTACAGACGGGTTAAAGAAGTTGGAGCATCGCTGAGATTCAAAACTAAGTTAGTTTGCTGCTGAAAATATAAAATATAAAATTCATTGTGAAATTGATTTAGTATATGCGTGTAGCAACGGAAGTCAACACATTATCTCATTATTCATATACAGATCTAAGGTTGTCAGTTTTATACATGTATTTGCAATTTGTCCAAAATTCGCCCATTTTCGAATATGTATCTTAGCATTTTCCTACTTCACATCTATAATAAAATACACTAAGAAACAGAACGTATATAAAAATGTAGTATTACTCTACTGCGATCACAATAAAAACAAAGGAAGAATCAAATCAATATTATATACTTATAAGGATACTTCAGAATGTATTAAAATGATAAGAAAAATGTTGAAGACTGTTTGAACAAATACGTTCTGAGATATTTAAAAGCAAAAATTGTTTAGATGCGAACATTTTTAACTTTATATATTTTCAATTTGCAGCATCATATTAATGTAGTTTTGAATTCTCTTAGTTACCTGATGCTCGCCGCTCTAAGTGTGCTGATATCAATAATATTTATTTCCAAAACAGTAACTTATCGTTTATTTACAAAATTGTTGACATATTTTTCATTGTCATTAATACTTTTGGGTTCTCCTCTAAGCAGCTTAGAGTCCACGACATGTCCCACCTCGTAAAGCTTGAATATCTGGAAGTAAGAAAATGTTATCTGCCAGCTAGCTTTTTTGTTACTATTACCTATTCCAAATGAACCTCAATCACAGCAAATCTACGACATGAGTTTGCCTTCCAGATGGCAATTACGGAAAAAATGTTTTCTCTAAAAAGGTCTGACAAAAATTTGCGCAAGGTAGGTGATTCGTGTATAATTTATTGAATACCGTATTAAAAAATTCAATAGATGTTCCAAAAAAAGTCAGTGGCATAGAAAATGATTTACGTTTTTCTTCTGTAGAAGTGAACATTTCTACGCCACTTTTATGTTTGTGTTACTGTACTGCATACAGAAAATTTAAACCCGATGCCAGTCTGGCCAACAAAACCACATCTATTGTCAGATTTTGTTTACTGTTAACGTTTTAATCACAAAGGTGATCTTCTTCAGTACAATGACAATATATTCGATTTATCTGTCTTCCAGGTGACAGTTCGTTTGTTTTTATTATAAGATTTCTCTATACAGTGTGTTACTACAATAGTATGAAAGTCCCGTAACATGCGGAGAGTCGTCATTCCGAAATATTAATTGGCAGACACTGTGGTTAGGGGTTGTCAGGCATGGCTTCGAGAAGGCCGTACGCAAAGAGCAAGAGGCACTGGACGCCGCCGTAGAACAACAACCGCCTAAGATTATTGGCCTTAAGGGATCGTTTCTCCACTACCAGGTCCATTGCAAATGAATGGTTTGCAGAACTCGGTAGACCTATTGGCATGCGAAGTGTTTACCGACGAATGAGAAGATTTGGCTTGTTTTCATACCGGCCACACTGGGTCCTCCCTTTAACTCGAGAACACCGACGTAATTGCCTTGAGTGGTGCAGACAACGGTCACTCTGGGATCAGGAATGGAACAGTATTGTCTTTAGTGACGAGTCTCGATTTTGTTTAGGCATGCACGATGGTCGTGCCAGGGTTAGAAGGCGACGTGGTGAAAGGAGGAATCCACAGTTTTTTGTTGAAAGACATGTTAGACATCATTTACTTATTATGCTTCATTAAGTACTTATACAAAATTTTATTAAAATAAAACCATTTAAACTGGGTGTTCGGATTTATATGTCACTTAGTATATCTAACGGAGGTCAATTTTTTCCATTGGCCTTCTGTTCTAAAAAGGATGTTCTGTGGATATAGTGAAAATACTTACTAGCACCACATCGTTGGGCACATCTCAACTTGCCAGGATTGTTATAGGATACCATATCGCTAGCGCATATTGGATTGTACTCGCTAGTTGATGGACACTCTGCTAGGCATCTTATGAACTCAGGAGATGAAGTCACGGAATTTGTATTTGTATTTGAGTTCTCAGGGGCATTATTATTATCATTGTCGTCGATGATGAAAGAATCATCCTGGCAGATGCTGGGAGGAACTCTAGATGCCAAGAAGCATAGAGCTACAAAAAACAAAATAATTGATATTAATGTGTCAGATTATATTTGAAACTACGTCGAGGCGAAAACCTCGCATTCGTGAAAGAAGTTTTGAAGCTAAAAATTTTTCAATAATCACGTTTGATCACACTGATTATGCTTTAGATTAACAATTAAAAAACAAAGGCTTCCAATAACCATACCCCAAGAATCCTTTGGGATTTTGTTAGTTTATGTTTGATGAATATTTAGGAATTTTAGCAACATTAAAATTTTCCTTTTTTTCATTTTGCTGGAAATGGTACATATCCCTTAAAATTCTTGGGATAAAGGTTTAAAACAGCGTTCTTTGTCAAATTGTAAACGCTTTGGCTTCATTTTTTGCCTTCTTCCGCTAAAATAATGTGAAAAATACGTTTATAAATTTTTTGTAAATGAAGCCTTGAAATCAAAAAAATATCAGTTAAAAAGTTTGACCAGTAAATATTCAAAAGTTTAAGAACCACAAAACAAAAGCAATGACAATAAACGTGTGTACGTATAAAGAAGTTATCATATGATTTTGAAGATTTGTATTAAAAAAACAACAAATGTGTAGAACTATATAAAAGCCAGAGCAACTTTACCTATTGAATGAAACATAATACACGTCCCAATGGATAACAAACATCCCTTAGACCACCTAAGAAGAACAGTTGACCCAAAACACCAAAAAGAGCGAAAAAAAAAAGATTTTGAATTTAAAAAAAATGGCGTCAAGTGGTTAGCTCTGTACTTCCCATGCAACGCCGTTAACAGTACATGAAGACTGCTAAGAATATTTTTCAGGGCTACGGAGAAATCTATGATGTGTGGAATATGTACGTATAGAATGACCAAGGTTGGGAGCATATAAACATGCTTAACATCAATAAATTGAGATATACCTCCCCGCCCCTATATATCCTTCACCCCCAGATTTTGTACTTCTAAACATTTTTCCAAAAACGATCAGAATCGTCTGAAACCTTAAAAAACAGAGTTTAGGCGATTTAAATTTTTTTCGTTTTTGGCCTTTTTCTGCGCAGCCACTGGATTGATTCTCAAACACTACAAAGCTTTTTCGTCCTTGGCATAGTAGAAATATTGTGCAAAAATTTCATCAAAATCAGAGCGGTACTTCTCAAGTTCTAGAGTATTCTAGACGGTTATAGTATTGGCGGACAAACAGACAGACGGAAATGAGTGACTTGGTTTTGTACGTACCTGTCATATAATATACAAAAAACATAATCTTTCACTTTCGGAGATTTTGGGTGCGCTAACATGTACATTCGTGAAAAGACCTCCTTTTCGAATAAGATGATGGAAAAAACCAAATATATTACAGAGCAGATGCGAAGATATTTTAAAGCATTGGATTTTACAATAAGATAGGCATATTAAACTGATTTTGCGTATTAAGATTTTTTTAATACTTTTTTTTCGAAATCTAGCAATATTTCGAAAACAGTAAAACACAAAACAGACTTGAAGTGATTAAAATAATACTTTTTTTAATAATGTTTTTTTATTGTGTAAAATGAAGTCATATACACACAATGGCAAAGCGAAATACAGAAGCAGTTACAAACGTTTTATATATAAAAACTACAAAGTGTACCAGAAGTAAAGCTGATCGAGCTTTTGTGTATGTGAAAACTTGTACTTAAATGCAAGACGTTTAGTTTCTTTTTTGTATACAAATGTCCGAAAAGTGAAGCTTTAAGAATGATGGAAGTGACCTATTCTACAGAATATGTATTATTGGAGTAACATGACAGAATGAGATATTTGAACTTGAACTTTATAAAATATTCATTATTTGGACGTTACTTACCAAGAATCGGTAAGCTGTATTTGGTTAACATGGCCAAATAATTTAATACTGATTATAAGTAAATAAATGTAAGATCTGCGTTGAGAATCGTAAACAAATGTTAGCGTTATCACGGTTGAACTCTCACTCAGTTCAAGAGTGGTTCAAGTTCACAAAAAGCAACCGGTTCCCCCGACGCTGAGATAGTCCAGGAGAGAAAATTATTTTGTTAAAAACAAAACCTTAAGCTTAGAAACTTGCACAGAGGTGGAATAGAGCAGTGAGACTTGCATGGGAAATGCAAGAGGGCGGATATATCCTCCTTTTTTAGATTGCAGTATCTTAGAAATCCAGTAGGAAAGTACCATGAAAAGTGAGTAGTTATGCACAATTTGCATAGTTGGCATGTGGAGAATCCCCATGCACTACGTCAAGATCGCTCCCAAACACAGTTTTGCTAAAAAAATTTATTGTTATATATCTCGAAAGCCATGAGACTTTCGACTAAACATAATTTTGCCAAATAATAAGTCATGGTATGACCTATTTTCAGTTGCGTAATTATCTATGAGAAATAGAATAACCCTAATATACACAATCAATAAAAATACATAGCATTAAAATAGTATACTTGTAGCAAAAACATTAGATACCTTAAGATTAATACATTTTAAAAGAAAAGAACATCATCATCAGCAAAACGCACACTTTACAAAAATAAAGTCAAGTAATACTAAATTTAAGTAGCTCCTTTTTGAATCTATGACGAGTTGAGTATTGAGCATTCTTTGATGTACCTGGGCAACTTGTTGAGTTCATTCTAGCAGGTTTAGAAATGTGTATGTTCATATTTGGTATGATTAGATAAATGTGAAAATCACAAGCAAAGTTGATCTGATAAATCAAGTACCTAGGAGCCATAACTCGAACTATCTCAAAGTTAAAAACCATTGTCAGATGGAAGACTCTCTGCGGTTCCTGATAAAAAATGTAATGTATTCAGCTTGAGATTACAGGTTCCAAACGACTACATCCCAATATAACGATTGTGTAGTTTTTGCAGCTCAGCTAATTGAGGTATATTGAATAAGAAATTGAGTGTTGGACAATAGTTTAAATGTCGCTGAATTATAATTTTGTATAGCTTTGTTTGAAGTGAAAGGGAGGTGCTTGTTCTTGAAAAAAGTATAGCTTTTATATCTTTTTACAGACATATGCAAGACGTCCATCTGAACTCCCAGATACTTGACTACTGTGACATATTCAACTTCTTCATTGTTAATGTGAATATTTACATCAGATATGTTAATGAGACTATATTCGTATTTAGTTGTTAGGATCATAGCGTTTGTTTTAGCCAAATCAAATTTAAGCGAATTGAGTTTCTTATAGTTATCGACCAAATCCAAAACAATATTCATACTATCATCTTAATAGTTGTACCAAGATTACTAACAGAGCATGCAATATCATCAGCAGAAATGATAATGAATAAAATAAAAAGAAGAGCGGACCTAGCACACTGACCTGCGGTACTCTGATTTTATTTTCAACTATACAAGACTTATCCTTACCAATTCCCATCCTTTGTTTCATGCCATTTGAGTAATTAAAAAACCAATCATAGACTTTACCAGAAATTCCATACACTGCAAGTTTTGCCAACAATATATCTCTATCTATGATCTTAAATGATCTTTTCAAGCGAAGAAACACAGCACTAACACACTTGTTATTGTCAATTTCGTTTTCGATTTACAAACAGTTGATTGAATAGAAGTTTCAGTTGAGTGCATCTGACGAAATGCTGATTGTTGGTTGTAAAGAATATTATTTGCTTCAATAAGCTCAACCAGTTGTCCGCACACTCGGGGCTGTATTGGTGAACTGGTACAGAGTGTACTTTGTACTACTCTGTAACAACCTCAACGTTCGTAATTGTTTGACATAGATGTTACATGCATTCGAATTTGCAAAACATCGTTAGCATAGGTGCTGAGAATGATTTTATTTTTTTTATTTTTACCTTGTTAGTTATCACCTCTCAAAATGATATGCAGCCTCTCAGACTAACATAATTACTACATTATCGCCTCATCTGATTCGCGGGGATTTCTGATGTAGATTCTACATTTTCTTTTTGCAGATTGGATTCTTTATTTTCCTGTTTTCTTGTTTATTGTTTGATAGAAATATACCTGTATGATTCATTTTCCACAAACGATAAATACCATTACGCAAAAGTAACTTTTATGAAGACGATTCCGATTCGTTTTTATACCGAAGCATTCGCGCAGGTAAAAGCCTAAATACTGGGGTACCGCATCTGCTATAAGGAGCTTAAAGTCACTTTGTTAATCTGATTTTTTAACAGCTTAAGGTTCGTAGAACTGGGAAAAGGCTTCTCAAGTAGATTGTCCCACAATCTAGACACCATAGGTAAAAAAGGAGAGGTCGTACCGGCCAGTATTGGATGTACGACACGATTAGGATGGGAGGGCGAAGTCAGGCGGGTCTTCTGGCAGGCTCATCGCGTGGCGGCCTCATGGAGGAGAGCTCCGAGGAGCAAAGCTCGTTGACATAGCCGTAGAAGGGAGCCTGATCGCCGACGGCCCATCATTGGTTCAAATGGATCCCGGGACTGCCTGTTAGAGGAGAGTCATCGATCAGTCGGACAGCCCTCCTCTGAACAGCATTGAGCATAGATAATGTGGTCGGGGCGACAGCACGCCAAATTGTGAGCAGTACTCGAGCCTAGGTCTTTTCTGGACCTTGAACAGAGTGAGGGGGTCATGTGGAGAAAAGTACTTCTTAGGTTGTTAGCCGTAAACAAATAACCTAGCTTTTTCTCAGCAACTGCCGCGACTGATCAGACGTTTTCGTGCCAGATCAGGTTGGGGGTGATCTGGACTCCGACCAGCCGGCTATTAAAGTAGAAACTAACACCTGTAAGTCTACAGCTAGACGTTATACTTAGATACAAAAACGTTTTACAGGTACAATATACTACCACTTTTAATCGTATAATTTGGGGTGCTTCAACAGATAAATTTTAACTAGTATACTGTATTGTTCATCGTATTCTGTTATTCTTCCCTGTTGCGCCTGGCGCCTTTAAGGAAAGGCCCATAGGGCAGTTTTTATAGAAACTTGTTGCCATCTTTTTGAATACATTTATAAGAATCTTCACAATGGTGAATATGTATTATGCTGTTTGATTTGACTCAGTGGAGTCTAGAGAAGGAAGCTATACAGCATCGGTATTAGAGGTTTGACAGATCTATGAGAGTGAATGTTGAAGATGTGATGTCTGAAGTCATCCACCTCAACTCGGCGTTCCGCAAGGGTCGGTATTAGGGCCTCTCCTCTTTTTACCGTTCATCAATGATTTGCAAAATTTATCCCGTCTGCGCATGCTACTATGTTACATCAGTGTATCATTGTCCACTGCCACTATTGTAGTAGTAGCCGCGATGGATCAGTTTTCAGCGTTGTGTCAACGCTACAGATTGCTGATGAACGAAATCATTGTTAATTTTACCATCTGTAGTCGTATCCCAGAATATTTCTCAGTACCTATAAGGTATCGCAGCATTGCAAGCTATTAGGTACATTTCCTTGACAGTAAGTTGTCCTTTATCAAACTTGTTGGTTACGTATGCAACAATCTGAATAAAATCTATTACGCCTTGATGCAGCTTAAAGACACGCTTAATAGCAAGAGCTTGCTCAGTGTCTACTTCGCACTTGTACATAGCAACCTGTCATGCAACATCATGGCATGGGGTAACTGCATCGACACGATTGCTGAGACTAATATTTAACACAAGGCTACCGAATTTTGCAGAGAGGTTTTTAATCAGATCAACATTCTCACACTTTCTTCTGTTTATATTCTCAGATTTGTTACTTTTATAAGAGGAAGCGATAATCCCGATGAATGTAACATCCCAAACGTCAACATTAAACTCATCCAGAGGCAGAGGTAGAATACCTCACACTTCAAAAAGTCTCATTTTTACAAACGTGTCATATCATTTAACAGTTTGCCTCACAGTTTTAGGGCACTTAAAAGCTACAACAAATTCAAAGGGGAAGTTAAAAGCTTTCTCTTGAGACACGCATTAAAGGGTAAATTTTTAAACATGAAGCCATTTTTTTAATTATGTTTATTATTTTATCATTTTGTTACTCGTGTTTAAATTTTCTTTACTTATTTATTTTAATTCACACTGTACTGCTGTGTTTTAGATCCATTTTAACCGCATTTTTGTTAATTGAAAACATGCTTAGTGCCTACATTGCATTTGTGCTTCTAGCTGATAAGCCTCTTATACATCCTACCTTTAGTGGTCAATAAATCTAATATCTAATATAATGTCTAAAACCTTTTATATTTTGTATTATTCTTACAGGTTGGGTCAGGTATTCCAGAAAACACTATTTCTATGGGCAGTGTCTCGATAAAGGCGCATTTCAGAACCGATGCTTTTCAATGATTTTTCTAATATACAAATATCGACACTGTAGGTTGTACAATTGACTGTAGCACCTTTTGGCGGCAAACGGTACTCGAACCCGCAGCACATGTCATTCGTCTTGGCGCATATCTCTACTCCGCACGAATAATCACCAGGTGCTCCATCGTACCGGTGGCACCAGCTGCGATCACGTAATCAGTAACTGCCCCCATCAGGAAGAGGCACTCGACCGTATCATCGTGACACGTGCTGAACGATGATGTAGTTTACCCGCGTTTTTGTTATACTTTTTTATACACGAGTCCATGTTAATATAAAAAGATATTTTTCCGTAAAAGCTGAAACCATGCGTGTGGAGAGGAACTATTGTAATAGCGTAAAGGTTATTAGAAAATGAGATATTATGTTTTTTCCACGTTAATATAAAAAGATGTTTTTCCGTAAAAGCAGAAACCATCCGTGTGGAGAGGAACTATTGTAATAGCGTAAAGGTTATTAGAAAATGAGATATGTTTTTTCGATATTATATGGCATGTACAAAATGTACATCACGAAAAACCATGCCACTCATTTCCGTCGGTCTGTCTATCTGTCGGTCTGTCCTCTAATCTTTGGACCGCCTACAACTTGGAAAGTACTGCTCGGATTTTTAATCTTTCAGAGGCTCCCGACCATTT